CGAGCTTTTTTTTTTTTCTTATTTGCTGGCGGATGTAATGCCCTTTCCCGTGTTTGTTGTGTGGCTGGCTCTACGTGGCAGATGTCGAGGGGTTTCTTTTTTTCCTTTGGCAGAGACAAAAAAAGTAAGCAGAGCCGATGTGCTGGCAAAAGGGGAGAGGGGGAAGCTATGACGCTTTCATGACGGTGATGATGGGATGGTCTGACGGAAAATCTATGAGCTACGTAGCGTTTGAATGTTTCCTTTTGTTGTTATTGTCGTTTATGCTTTTTTGGCTTCATCTTCCATAGCTGAGTTGACACGTCGACGGTGTACCAGAGGGGTACCTACGGGTACCGACAGCTAGTCTGCTGGTTGCCGTCGATGAATACACCGCTTGCTTCATCTTTCAATAATGTTTCCGCGTTTGCCGTGTAATGTATGTTGTGTTGCGTTTAGTTACAGAAGGCGTTTTTCGCTCGCCTGAACAGTGTGGATATATACCTGTACATACATTGATCTTACATGACAACTCTTCTCCATCTATATCTGCTGCTCCGTTCACCTTCGTGATACTCTTTCATCTCCCGAACTCTTATCCATGTGCTCACTTTACATGAGTTTGTCTCCCACAAACCCAAGGCACGTGAGCACGATCAAAAAAGACCAAATGTGTCACGATTAAGCAAACAACTGCCCCTAGATGTACAAACCACGAGGATACAAATACTGTTGTCGACTCTCAAGAAACTATCTTTCCCTCGTTGTCTCTCTAGATACTGACGTGTGCGCCACCAACCGCACTCTTCAACTCTGCCATGCAATCAATTCTGCATCTCACAAAGCCCCCCTTTTCCACACCATGCAAGTTACTCAAAACCAGACTCTCCGGCCTCCCTCCTCAAGCGTAGGTGTAATCAGACATTCTCAAATCAGGTCTTTAGCCCTTCTTCAGTCCTTACATTCGAGAAGGTGGAGGGGCTACTTACTACAGAGGATGGCTGATCTTGGTAAAATAGAAGAGTGGTATTGAGTGCGTTGGCGCTGTTTGATAACAGAATGGATCTGAGAGTAGTGTTTTTTGCCTCGTGGGAATATGTACTCAAAAGACCCAGATTCTCTGCTATTGTAGGTTCTCAGTCTCCTCAGTTTGGATACATATTCGGTTAGGTGCCTTCAGCCCGTGGTGAGCTTTTTTTCGGCCGTCGTCTCATCGCATTGTCAGCTAAGGCCTGTTGTTAAAGGTGATGGCTACAAATGGCTTCCGTTGAACAGCTCTATGGACCAAGGATGCAGGCAGATTTTTTTTTTCTGTGTGGCTTTGAAGACTCAGAGATTCAATGCTTAGTAGAGCGTTTCAAGAGTAATTGAACCCCTTAGGTTTTGAGTCAAGGGACCTGGCCAAACCGAGAATTTGCCTGTGGAATTGAAAGGAACTATCTCCTCTTCTTTACTATCCAAACATAGTGGGACCTCAACGCACAGTTTCAAATAAGCTAAACCATCAACTTCAGAGTACACAAGTGGTCAAGGACGACCGTGGTTGTTCTATCCACAAGTCCCTTATCGGCCTCACGTTACCTTACCATCAACCATAACTCTCAACTAAGCATTTCAGCAGTCGTCAAATCATAGCTCTTGTGGCTCTCTTTGGGAAGCCTGGCCCGTAGTACGGTCAAACACTGGATGAGGTTGACGAGCCGGAATGATCCGGTTTCGGCTAATGCACTTGGATTAAATTACTGCCTTCCTCCTCGGCGCAGTATTGTCCACAAGGATAGTTCTCAAGCTGGAGATAGGTACAAACTTGATTTTGAATGCATTACGAAGAGTCGCAGAGCACAAAATTCGGGCTTCATTTGGTGTACGACGACATCATATAATATGTACCTTCTCCTATGAACGAAACTGACCACCTCCGCCCTGGGCAACTCCCGGTCAGCTCACCTAGGGTCGTTGGGCATAAATAATCGGCAGTACGAAATTTCCAACATCATGTATATGCCGCGTCATCTCGGCGTCTGATGCCCGGTTGGAAAAGAGTCTGTTCGGCTCGGTTTCCATGTATTATATGCAGAACATAGCGGGCGGCATAGTATACTCGCATCCCGCAAGGCGTCTTTGGACCGGTATGATAGGCAGTGCCCAAGCATGCTATTCCACTTTACGCATCCTCGGTCGCTCGTTTCCCCATGCTCAAGGCAAGCCAGCGGGGCTCGCGGCATTACGTCACATTGCATATTACCTGCGCATCGCTGGCACGGCTCCATCACTTGGATTCCGCGAGGGGCGGTCAGTAAACTGTGTTCATGCCCCAATGCTTACCCGACATATGGTGCAATCAGGTGCCTGCGATTGTCACACGGCTGATCTTAGGGTCGGGACGCGACTCACGTACAGGTCGGGCGGAACCACCGCGTGCGTCATTGTGCCGGAGAAGTACAATGGCTTTAATCTCGCACCCTCCTTCTTCGTTCCCTATTTTTCATTTGCTGTTTGAAAAGCTTGTGTATATGCGCTAGAAAAAAACAAAGAAGTCGAGCATTTTCAGGTGTGTGTGGGCGTGCAGCTGATATCCTGTTTCGAGTGTGCTATTCGCGCTCTCTTCGGCTTTTCCTTTGAATCGTCTTCTGGAGACTTGTGAGTGGAAGTAATAGTTGCCAAACTACTGCAAAGATGAACTACGCATCATGGATAGAAGAGAAAAAGCTCAAGGTATATCCTGGTGATACGCAGCCACACCATGGATGCTGACTCGCTGCCTTAGAAAACCTTCATTGTAGCTACACTTGCCTCAACCCTCGTCGGCACCTTTACAGCGTCCCTAGGTCTGTGGGAACGTATCGCCGATAGACGCGCTCAGCACCGACAGAAACAACGCGACAAGCAACAGGATGGCGAAATTAAACAGCTAAAAATGCAATTTGAGGAGGCTCAGCAAAAGGCAGAAAAAAGACAAGAAGAGATCGATCGCTTGCGGGACGGAAGAGGGCGGGACGATGTGGGAAATAACTTTGAGAGGGATATGATGATGATTCAGAGAATGTACGACCAAGGCTATGGCAGGATGGGTAGCCGGTTTGCGATAGGCGATGGTTAGTTTGTCGTATGGCAGACACGAGATCTAATACTGACTCCGAATAGCAATCGTTGAGAACCAGCTCCAAGCGCAAATCATATCTCTTCAGCAGACCGTCATAAGTGTCCTGCAGGACGCTCTCTACAACGATCGTCAACTCACTCGTGCGGACATGGAGAAACTCATTACCGCTTCGAACGAAGCTCGCGATGGCTCCCTAGAAGCTCTCCGACAAGCTCAACTACGCTTGGGAGGTTCACAGGCCGGCAACGGCTCACATCGATCTTCGTCGCCCTCGCGCTCACTCGCACCTCCACAACGTGCTCCCACTGTTATCCAAGACAGACCCGAGCAACTCTTCTGCTCATACGCTCGTGATCTGCAGCACATGCAAGGAAAGCCTCTGGCAGCCAGTTTTGCTCCAGGGGGCAGCTGCGTGTGTCCTACCTGTGGCGTTCAACTCGATGTCACGAGCGAAGACTTTTGGATGATTGGAAAACGCACGCCCATCACCGTCTACGACAAGACCACTGGCTATGAAACAGAGTTGCTCGATACGCGCGAATTTCGTCTCGGACAGCGCTTCGTCATCCAGTGCCACACGCCAGACGGTGAGTATGCGTGTACAATATGCAACAAGGGCTCGGAAGTCGATGCGATTTGCAGAAATGTCGAGAGTCTGGTCAAGCATGTGGGTACATATCACGAAGCCTCGGAGCTAGAGCGGGAACCAGATCTGAGAGAGGTAAAAGTGGAAACTAAGCGGTTAAGTCTGCCGGCACCACCACCACCAGGCCCGCCAAGGTCGTTGGTCAGGGAAGAAGTAGTTTATCGCTGATGGCACCAAGGAGAAAAGCTCTGGAAGGCTTGTTGGGGGATGGAACGCTTTATACCCGTCATGGCGAGGCGTTCAAGATGGCGTTTTCCTTTGTTCTGTCTGGGATACGTTTCGGCGTACTGTGTGATCGGACTTGCGTTTTGCTATCGCCTCTTTGTAATTTATAAACGAGTAGATGATGTAACGGCCTAAATACCCTCAGTTTACCTGCAGTCCATGTTTAGTTTGATCTTGACCAGTGCGAGATTCCCAGATCCCTGGTATCTGACGGGAAGACTACGGCCACTTTCGCCTTAGTTCACACTATCCAAGTTGCATGCAAGGTTTATTCAAGGATGTTCAGGGCAAAGAGACGGCTGAGATGGGCATCGAAAAGCTTGTCTGAACATCTGCACTTAGTTACACCTGGGAGATTGCCGGTGGGTCCGTGCGTTAGCATCCGTCATTGGGGTGTGGACAGGTGTAAGGTGTCCTCATACATAACCACATACTGAACTCAACGTTGAAAATGATGGTCAATCGCCTTCGTAAGGCCATCATATTTTCTTTTTATTTCACATATACTCTACCTCTTGAATTACACCACACATGCGTGTCAACTTGTCACTAAGCTTCGTTCACTCGTCGGTGTCGACAACCGCCTGCTAACAACCACTACAACGAATGCAGTACCTCGCGATCCTTGCCATTCCATCAGCAAGATGTTATTAGTTCCTTGGACGCACAAAGAATTCAAGAACCCATCAGATAATGTGGTTGTCTAGCATCATGATCATATCGGACACCAACACACTACCCATCCTCTGGCTCTGACTACTATTTTCCTCAGAAACCCTAATAAACTAGCCAATATACCGCAGCAAAAGGGAGCCGATACCAACCAAGTTTACCCATCACTGACGTCGCGGATAGTCTCCCGAGAATGACGTTCGCCGACTCTTCCCCGCCGCCGGCCCCACACACCCATGCGAAAATTTCCTTGCTACCACACGAGTAAGGAAGCACAATCGAATATTCAGAAAACTGTTTCGGATAGCAGTGAATGCGTTTTCTTGAAATATATTCATGAAAAATGCTCGTTCTTCCATCAAACAACAACAACAAGCCCGGCTAGCTCAATCGGTAGAGCGTGAGACTCTTAGCTTTCACGTCCTAATCAGACACGATTGGTTATCTCAAGGTTGTGGGTTCGACCCCCACGTCGGGCTTCCTTTTTTTGCTCTGTTCACGAGTTTCTACATTTTTTTTTTGACTGGGAAATCTCCTGTTGATGTTCGGATGAAACCCCTGGCTTGAAAGAGTAGTTTTTTGCCCTAGTGGGAATAGGTCTACGATCTCGCGTAAACTCTTGTGAGCTGTCAGTATTCTTCGTATAGGAGGCAAGTACCTTGGGAGACTACAAGTAGCTGGATATATCTAAGAGTCTTCTAAAGAGGACATTTGACACACGTAAGCTTCCCTGAACGTTATAGCACTTTGGACTAGGCATATCTATCAGCTTCTACATTCGTTTTCATTCATTGGACGCTGCTCTAGCTCTGATCAGTACCTGGTCATGCTGAAATGAACCAAATCATACTCGTATGTAGTCTACTGTGGAATGTTTGTTGGTTACTCGAGTATTCAGGGATAGCTTCCACTTTCTTGTAGCTAGTCCTTGACTAAAGTTGCGTTATATCTTCTACTATCAAACTTTACTGTATGAAAAGTACTTCGACAGTCTTAGTTTGAAATCTTGTGATTATTTGGGGGTTTATGCTATGCCACACCTACTCCTTTTGAAAGGGCTTATTTTTCGTTAGTAATTTGTCTTGTCAAAAGCATTGCACCTACCATAGCTTGTTCATTCAATTAGTCCTTGTCTTGCCTGTTACTTATGCGGTTACAACAATCGTCCGCATCCACATGCAATTCAGCATAGCCGCCCTAATTATTTTCTCGTCGTCTTAGTCTCCGTCATTAGTTGGGACTATCAAAGTATGGGATGCCGAAACAGATCTCGAAAATCGGACCAAAAAGAAACTGAGGGCTGCAAAACTGAAGTGTCGGAGGCTGTGCTTGCTTTCTTGGACAGTCACTGCCGTTTTGCGCTACTGTAAATTGACAGAATTCCAAGGCAACTCCAAAATATGCTCATATCGCCCGTTTAGGATCAACCTTGCCATGCTCGCAACGATTATATAGTCACAATTGTTGATTTAAGCACTGCAATATATGATATTGAAGGCTGTAGTCCGATGGATGCCTAGTTGGTATGACGTTACTAACCAAGATCAAGATTAAGATTACGTCTGAGGGACGTTCACTATTCATAGTATCATGGACCTAGCTCACCTGAAGACGGGGACTCCATTGAACCTTTGCTGGCCAAGTTCGGCATCCCGTCTCAAACCTTCGTACTTCGTAACAATTCCTCTCAATGCAAACCTGTTGGTTTTGTTGTGCTGATCTGCTGTTTCACACAACGTGCTAGCTCAGGAAAGTTTGCAGTCAGTTGTTTTGAATAGGTCCTTTTCGCGAGCAGGTGAGGGTCAGGCCAAGATGGTGTGAGTTTCTCCTAGAATGCGATTTTTCATCGGCTATGAATTGGCTGAACAATGCGCTGAAACCCTTCTTCCTTTTATATTTGGATCTCATGCACAACCAGAATCGACGCGGTGAAAAGACAGTCCTCACTAGCAGCTCTGATAGCATCTAATAGCCTAGGCGCTTAGCCAGTTGGCCTAGTCAGCCAATTTGGATCCACCTCGGCATCACTCAATCTGATCGACTGTAATATTATCACTTATAGATTTTCCATGTACTTTCGTTTGATATCATAAACATGGCATCCGTTTATCCATGGACGACTCATCAAGACGACCCGCAATAGTAATGGGGAAATCTCCAGTTATCTCCTTCTTTAGAGAACATGGCACGTTTACGGAAATATACAATGCAGCCTCAGACCCCACCAAGCTCAACCCCACCAACCCCAACACCCCACCAATACATCGTGAACACATGAATGTCCAATGATATGTATACACTCGGGGTTACCTAATCCTTCCTATCATTGTCTCATGCCATTTTGGGCTTCGTAAAAGCTTGTAAAAACAGATATGGCTTACACTGCATTAGATCCCTGCTAAATGGGGCATGCAGTGCGCCGTACGGCTGAGCCCTGAACCGAGACATAGCCTATCACCGCATGGGAAACATACCCCTGTCTCTGGTGATTACAGTATAAAGGTATAGCAGAAGGATGGATCGCTCGATTGTGAAGTCGCTCAGCCGCCATGTCTTCACAATCAAGTCGTATAGCTGAACTGGCAGCTACCATCGCACATCACACTGCTCGAGTTGACAAGTTCCTTGATGAGCACAATCTGCCACAGCCATCTTTTGATGTCGATGGTCCCGTCGAGCTCGGATTGCCTTCCGATGTAGAAGAATCGCGCGTTGCCGTTCTTCGAGCAACTCAGGAGCTCAACGACCTTCTCCAAGGCCCAAGAGAGCTGATTTTCAACCACCAAGTCTGCGGCGCATACAAAGGCCTAATGAATCTCCACACTGACTACTTTGTAGCACAACCTTTTGGCGCATCTCAAACTAATCTCTCGCTATGACATTGCTCGCAAGGTGCCAGTGGGTGGTGAGATGACGTTCAAGGATCTCGCAGCAAGCATTGGTTTAAACGAGGGAGCTGTTACACGTATCCTTCGCATGGGCATTGCGTATCGCATATTTCGGGAACCTCGTCCTGGCGTGATAGCACACTCTGCCGCCTCGAGACAGCTTGCAGATGATACACGCGCAGCAGGCTGGGTTGCAGCCAACGTTGACGAAATGTGGCCATCAGCTGAGAAGCTCGTGGAGGCTTTGGAAAAGTGGCCTGAAGCTTCCGAGCCAAACCAGACCGTATGCGCCCGCAATAAGCCACAGAGTTATGAGACTAAGAGAGTGCTAGGGATTTTCGCTAGGCCATGAAACCGATTTGTCTTTTTACCAAGCCTTGGCCAGCGATCCGGAGCGTGCTCGTCGTTTTGGTGAAGGAATGAGCTTCTTTACCACTGGCGAGGGATTTTCGCTACGTCACTTAACGGATGGATACCCATGGGAATCCGTAGCACCAGGTACTGTCGTTGATATGGGCGGCTCCCACGGAGATGCGGCTTTTGCTCTGGCTCGCAAATTCCCCAATCTTCATCTAATAGTGCAAGATTTGCCAGAAGTCATTGCGAACTCGAAAGAGGAAGAAGGACTGGACGTGAAATTCCAAATCCACGACTTCTTTCAGCCCCAGCCGGTTAAAGGCGCCGATGTTTATTACTATCGTTGGACTTTGCATAACTGGTCGGATAAGTATTGTTTCAAGGCGCTCAGGGCACTGATACCGGCTTTGAAAAAGGGTGCGCGGCTGTTGATTGTGGACACAGTCATGCCTCCTCCAGGCACACTTCCCAATGATCTCGAGAGGAAACTCAGGTATACTCAGGTCATCTATTCAACAGTAGCTATGATGCTAATAAATGCCTAGGGGTATTGACTTGACCATGGTGGAAATCGGCAATGCCAAAGAACGCAGTCTGGACGAGTGGAAGGCACTGCTCGAAGAAGCGGATGGGAGGTTCAAGTTCCATGATTTTTATCATCCTTCAGGCTCAAATTTGGGAATTGTCGAAGCTGTGTGGGAGGGGTAGGTAAGTCTCAATTTGAAGAGACTCGGTGAGAGGCCAATGGAAGTTGATCTAGGTAGCAATGATCATGTTACACCGCAGGAAAATCGATTCGTCAATCCATAATGTATCGATGCAATTTAGTGACTTTGAAGACGTATAGGACATATTTTGAATACAATAGAGTCAGAACGCAAGTCGGTCGTACTGTATCGTTGCCATATCATGCTTATCGATAAGTCTAGCGTGAAGCGACGCGTCGACGCGTCTCAATCAATTAACGGAGAGCGTGTCCAATCAACTCCACTTTTGTTAACGTCTGGTCTCTTACGCATCTAACGCTGTCATCGTCTTTCAAAACATAGCACAAAATGGCGTCCCGACCAGAGATCAAAGAAGAGGATGAGTCGGGTTTCTGCAAGTTCTTCCGCAACCTGGATCAGAAAGACAACGAGACTGTGCGCATATTCGATCGTGGCGACTACTACAGCGCTCACGGCGATGATGCAACGTTCATTGCGAACACTGTAAGTGCGCTTGTGGCATAATGTACCATGATTAACAAACTGACACTCCTTTAGGTGTACAAAAGTACCGCCGTGATTCGCAAGCTGGGACGAGACCCAGGACTTGAGTCCGTCACAATGACCATCACAGTCTTCCGCAACTTCCTCCGCGACGCTCTGTTCCGGCTCAGTAAACGCATTGAGATATGGCAATCAACAGGAAAGCGCATGGACTGGAAGGTGGTTAAACAGGCCTCTCCCGGCAACCTGCAAGACCTCGAGGAGGAGCTAGGTGGGCATATCGAGAGCGCTCCTATAATATTGGCGGTCAAGGTATCGGCCAAGGCATCCGAGGCACGGAATGTGGGTGTCTGCTTTGCCGATGCAAGCGTACGGGAGCTGGGCGTTACAGAGTTCCTGGACAACGACCTTTATTCCAATTTCGAGTCATTACTCATTCAGCTAGGCGTGAAGGAATGCCTCATACAAATGGATTCCTCAAAGAAGGATGTGGAGCTCAGCAAGCTCCGGACCATCGCGGATAACTGTGGATGCGCAGTTGCAGAGCGAGCGCCGGCCGACTTTGGCACAAAAGATATCGAGCAGGACTTGCCACGGTTGCTCAAAGATGACCGTGCTGCCGGTTCACTACCTTTGACCGACCTGAAGCTAGCTATGGGTTCGGCTGCTTGTCTGATTCGGTACCTGGGCGTCATGTCTGACTCGTCAAACTTTGGACAATATCAGCTCTACCAACATGACCTATCACAGTACATGAAGCTCGATGCGGCGGCGCTTAAGGCCCTGAATCTTATGCCTGGACCACGAGACGGAGCCAAGAACATGAGTTTATATGGTTTGCTCAATCACTGCAAGACGCCAACAGGAAGTCGGTTACTAGCACAGTGGCTCAAGCAGCCACTGATGAACATTAGCGAAATCGAGCGACGACAGCAGCTGGTTGAAGCCTTTGTCAACGACACCGAACTGAGGCAAACAATGCAAGAAGAGCATCTGCGCTCAATACCTGATCTGTATCGCCTG